GAATTTGGATAAATTCACCTTTATAGGGGTTGTCAGATGATAGGCCACTGAGTAGGTCATTAGAGCAGTCACATCTAGAAATGCCAAAGACATGGATAAGGGTTTTGGCAACAGGTGATCTGAGGCAGAGTGAGAAATGACCAATATTATGAAGTGCTGAGGAAGTGATCCTGGTAATGGAGAGTATCGGCATTTAAAGTTCAGTTCACTGAGACAGGATACCAATGTTTCAGTCTGGTTCAAACTCAGGTGCCAAACTCAGATGAGTATATGAAGAGTGAATTAATTTTGTGGAGGGGAGCAAAAACACCGGCAAAGGTGGAATGCATTCATAATAGCAGCTCAAAACTATACATCAGTGGAACCTTGTGGCTCATCAACAGCAGCAGAGCTATATTTGATCATTAATCCAAGTTACTGAAGAGTGTATAAGAGCATGTCAAGAGCTATACCAGGCATATCTGAAAATAAGGTGCCAGCCTGATGAAGCTACAATGCAGGATCACATACATGATAAACAATGAATTCAATGCTCCCATGCAGACCAAGTCAAACAATCCCATAATGAACAGATCAGGTCAAAACTGTGTGGTGTGAATAAAAGTGGACAATTAAACAACTATTGAGAGGTGATGGTGCCATGAACATTCACATCTTCAAAAATGTCAGAATTAGAATCCAGTAAGTGTGCCAAAGACCAGGCTGAATTCTTTGCATGCGTCTTCAGTCAGATGTGCCAAGAAAATGATTCATGTCAGCCTCCTTCTGAGATCTCCACCAACATGGATGCCCATCTTCAATCAATTGGATTTACAGCACATGATAGTAAGAGCTGGCTGAATGCACTGGATACAGAAATGTTTATGATCCCCGACGACACCTTGGCAGGAAAATTGAACTGCAGAACTAGCCACACCATCACCAAGCTGTTCCAATATAGCTGCAACACTACACGGCATGTGGTGTCCACAGAAACAAGAGTGTCCCAATTTATCCAATTGCTGTCCAACACCCGACCCTGAGTTGTCTAGTGAGGTGGAAGGTGTCATCAACAGTGTTATCAAATGGCAGTTAACTGTCAGCCATTGCTCACTGATGCATAGTTTGAGTTCTATCAGGATTGTTCTACTCAGTGAGCCAAGAGGGACTGTCCTTGACATCAAAATAGCATTTGACCAGGTGTGGCATCAAGGAGCTCTTGCACAAAAGGAGTCAGTAAGAATTGGGGAAAAAAACTCTTCAAATGCTAGAATAATTAGCGTTAAGGAAGATAATGGTGCTCTCAGTTCTCGTCACTACATGGATTCTTCATGATAGGTAATTTCTAATCAACCTGTTCAGAGATGTTATTACACACCATTAGAGCGGAAAGAAGTTCAACCTGGGCTTTCTGGCTAATTCTTCATTGTGATGGCATAAGCCAAACTATCTTCTGCTGCTTCATCAATGACCTTCCCTCCATCATAAGGTCAGATGTTAACTGATGATTGGAATGTACATTTCCTATTCTTCAAACAATGAAATAATCTATGCCTCCATGCAGCATGATCTGGATGTCAATCACTCTTGGGCTGACAAGTAGCAGGTATAATTTGGAGCAGGCAATGACCATCTGCAACAAGAGACAATCTAATCATCATCCTATAACATTTAATGGTATTGCCACAATAAGTCTCACACCATCAACATCTTGGAAGATCACCATTGTCAACAAAAACGCTGGAACTAGCAACATAAATACTGTGGCCAGTAGATCAAAGGCTGTGAGTGAGTGCCTCATGAACTCCTCTCATCATTCCCTGGCCATCTTTAACCCTGGCCACCATCTACAAGGTACAATTCAGGAATACGATGGAACATTGTCCACATGCCTGGATGATCACGGCACCAACAACAGCATCTACAGCAAAACAGTGCATTTGATCAGTACCCCATTCACCATTCACTCCCTACACCACTGCCACAATTTAATTCAAGTTTATAATTTTGAATAGATGCGTCAATTCTTCAAAGCTTTTGTGACAGCATCTTCCAAATCCACAGTCTCTGGCAGCTAAGGTGAATGTGGGTGGGAATATCGTCACATGCAAATTTGACTCCAAATCGCACATCATCCTGGCGTGGAAATGCTTTGCATTGCTTTGCCTCTATGTTTTCTGGAATCCCATCCCAAAAGAAGTGCAGGAGTTTGTTTGTTTATTTTGTATCTTCACACTTTCTTGTTCCCTTTGAGGAAGAGTTGCAAGGATTTATCGGCTCTCTACACTGCATCATCATCTCTCCTTCTGTAGCTAGTTAGTCCTGGAGCGGGACTTGAAATTAGAGCTTCTGGAGTCCAGCGATGTTGCCTGAACCACAAGGTGTCCATTGTGAAAGTGATTTCACCAGATTCACACTAGCAGCTCAAAAAGGTGGCTCACCACCACCTTCTTGAAGGTAATTATATATTTTTTGCATTCTGCCAGTGTGGTACGTTGTCATGCTGCTGACATGTGCTGCTAGTTTTCTTAAAGGAAATGCTTGCCGAGGAAGATTTATGAAACCGTTTCTCTTCTTCTTTTGGCAAGCATTTGGTTATCTAATAAAGTCTCCCATGTATAGTGCTATAATGGCCAAGATTTAATGCTCTGTGCACGACGTATGGGAGCAGGCATGTTCACCGGCTATAAACTCACCACCCCAAGCTTCTCGGCGAATCGCGGACCTTGACACTGAAGTCTCATCACATTAGAAGCTGCTGGCCAATCAGAGGCCGGTAACGTTTGGGTCCTCAAGATCATCACCGCAGGCCCAGGGTTTAGCGCCTAAATGACAAGAAGCTAATGTTTCTCTTTCAGGTCTCTCCAGTTTCTGAGTTAAGGAGGCTTGGCGGCAAGAAAAGGAGTTGGTCTTTGGCAGTAACCCCCTTGATATTCCATCCCTCGTTGACCTATACGAAGCAAAAGACTGGAGCAAAAGAGGCCGTATTCCTCTCCCAACCTGGCAGGCAGATTTCTCTGAGAATCCAGTCACATTTCCCACCCGTCCAAAAGTCATGTACTTGGGCCTATGGATCTTACATGGCTGTTATTTAACCATTTAATTACTTTAGTTGGAGACGAGTGCAAAACATTGTCCATGGATCCTTTCATCCAATATTTAATTGCCGAGACATAGAGAAGGGAGCCAACTTGGCCAATTATTTGCTCTTCTCACCATCTTCCTTGCCAGCTCCAGGGAGACGATAATCACTCCTTTAAGGTTTGCATTGGCTTTCTGAATTAGGCCTTAATTGTCATTTTTTTAGATTTATGGGAAGGAGGAAGGAAAGGATCGAGCAATGATAAAATTAAACGGGACGTATTCAGATTATGAATTTTACTTGGATCACCTTCTGATTTCTTGAAGTATAATAGAATATGTAGATTTGTTCTCAGTTTCTTTGTAATATTACACCAGAGGTTTCTAATAATTTGATATTCTGTTTCCATCCTTTGCATGTTTTTAAACACAAAATGAAATAGAATACTTTCTTGATAATACAATCACTGCAAAACAACCCACCAGTTTTTGTATCATTCATATTTACTAAAGAATGTCCTTGAAGCTGCTTCCACTCCACCATTGTATGCTGGAAGTCTGGAAAGAGAATTACAAAAGCATGAATAAACAGTTGTGCTGATGAAGTATAAACATCTGCAAGGAAATTCGCAGCCAAACAAATGAAATTCAGACCATCAAAGACTTTCAACAGTTCATATGAGTTGTGGGGAGCTGCATGAAAATATCATTCTGGTTTTGTTACTAAAAGTACACAACTAACTCTGTAGTGTTGCAGGAACATGTCATCCTTCAACTTGATATTTCTGTCACCTTCATGTTTGTTCAAAATCACAGTAGTATTTCTAATTCTTGTACACAAATGCATAAATTTCAGTCCCAGAGTTGAAATTCTTTGCAAAATTCTAAGAATTCAGTCCATGATGTGAGCCACAGACTCTACCAGTCCATAAATTTGTCATCCAAGAATTTGATTCTGACACACCTTTTTCAGTGCTGTTAGATTTCTGTATCGCTTACTCTCAAAAAACTCTTTGATTTATTCAAATTGTGTTTGATAGCATGAACTATATTAAAAGCAAATCCAACCCTCTTCACCAAGAGACACTGCATAGAAATAATGGCATTCATTTAGTTTTCTAAGTTTGTATTCTTGTTTTCAAATATAAAGATTGTAAAGATTTTTTTTTTGTAAATCCTTTTTAGCCATTGCTTTCTTCAGGATCTAATTATAATCCCTAAACCAAGGCTACCCACATTGCTAATCAGTTTGACTATGTGTCCTTCAATCACTGTTAATTTGACATCACAAGGGAATCTTTAAAATGCGGGCTAAAAGCAAATATCATTCTTAGCTGTTTAATTGAAAAATACGAAAAGTATTATACATCACGGTTAGCTTTCAATAACATTTAAATGGTGTTTTTAGCTAATTTTGCTAAAAAGGATTTAGAACATCAACTTCCAGGTCAAACTGGAACATGTAATGTTAATTAGCTTTAATACAGTAACAGGAATAATTTAATACATTGTGCATTTTATCAGCTGCACCGACACAGTGTTGCCAACTTGATTTTTTTTCATCTTTCCAAGAGCATTTATGTGAGGGTTGTTACAAATAGACAGTTCTACAAGATGGTTGACGTAAACTTCTTTGCAATAAAAATCTTCCAATGGGCATTTACATCACAAGTCCTTGTCATTTTGTTGCTGATACTTTGTTTAAAAAAGACGTTAAATTGGTCTGTCATTTAAAATTGTCTTGTCTGTCATAAAGTAGTGGTTAAGTGGTTGGCAACGCTGTATGGTAATCATATGGAGCTAGCTGGAATATTGAAATGTTTGCATGAGACGTCTTGCGTATTTTGAACAGTCACTTAATTTGTTTTTTAAGTTCTCATTTCTTCGTTCTTCTGTCTTTAACACTTCTCCTCCCCCTCCCCCACCCCACCCCAATGTAGCAACTTCGAAGGGCGGATGAAGCGAAAGGAGTTGCTAGTAGAGGCGGATCTCTCAAAGTAAATATGTTCACAAACTTTCTACAAGTTTGTTTACAGTTCTCTCTCTTTCTCAAATTATGCTTTAGCATTTCGTACTTGCTTTCTCTTACTTGCCTCCCATTTTTTTCCCCAAACTTGCAATTTTTGGCTTCATTGCTTTTCATACTTTGCAGTAGTCCCTATATAAAGATTGTTTTCACATTGTGTTTAATGTTATTTATTTATGTTTAGAAATTGAAGAAAATGTGGTGTTCCTATTTCTGTGTTATGTCTTCTCTACCTTTCCAGCTTATCTGCTGTTTGATAGTTTGTATCACAAGCTCTTTTCATTTGTTTTATTTTTTGATATTCTCATGCAGCTTGTTTACTAAATGAATGTAAAGGATATTATTTTAAGGTACATCTGTTTCATGTAACAAAATCAGTAGATTACTTATTAGACATAAAAATGCGCAGCTGCTTACGTTATTTGTCAGCACTAGGTTTAGCAACTTGACAGAATTTTCCTCATTCCCTAAACCTGAAGATTATCAAAACTTAAAGCTGCAATTTATTATAGAAATTATTTATATGATTTTTCTTCAGACGCTTTAATTCATTGTTCCTTTTTGCCTTAGCCAAATGGCTTGGTAACCAAACAAAAATAACAGCTTGATATTTGTTAAATAATAACTCCGTGTTGTTTTATGATCATATTCAAATGAAAATGCTCAGAAATGTTATCATCGCACCCACTTTTTTTAAATTGCTGAAATGTCTTTGTCTGATCACGGTGTTTCACGGGTAAACTTTTGGGGAAATAGTGATGGCTCCAGAGGGTAGTGCAGAACCACTCCCATTCAGATTAATGTGATAGACCCTCCTTGTCTTCCATGCCCAACTTGTTGAAATTAAATTGATTTGACCTCCTCAATGAATAGTGTTGATTATAACCAAGTGGATTTCCAAATACTAGAAAATGTTCATTAAAACTCGAGGAGAACTTCCAGGATTAAGATGATGCAGTGCACCATAGTGCCATTACATCATTGATTGAGAGTGACGTTGTGAGAAGTGATTGAAAGAACACATTTAATTAGTTTGTTCAGGTTGTTATGGTGGTAGTAAAGATTCTCAAAGAAAGTGTATTCAGCTTGGAATTTTCAGTAGCACTTAATGAAGAGAACATGCAGCTTGTATTTCACTATCTTCTTGTCCATTTACTGAATGAAAGGCCCTGTAAATGCTGTATCCACTTGAATGCCACCTCAGTCTCAACAGTGTAATGCAGAGGAAGTGGAATATCAATTATAAATTAATGTGATTTTATGCACAAGAAAGACAAAGATATTTTTAATGGGAAAGAAAGCTCAGTGGAGAATAGCTAACACAAGATGAAGCCATATTCTTTACAGCAGAGAAGGTGAAAGGGAAATTTGATGGAGGTGTTCAAGATCATGAACAGTTTTGGTGAGGAAGAAATGTTTTCTTGTGACCAGAAAGCTCAGTAACCAAATTTAACATGATAGATGGAAGAGCCAGAGAAGACATGAGGTGGTATTTCTTTTACACAGTGAGTTTTTGCCCAAAATGCTTGTGGAGACAAAGTCAGTCATGAATTCCTAAAGAAACTGGATAAGTATCAGAGAAAAAAATCATTTATGAGGCTGTGGAGACAGAGCAGGGAACTATGAGTAATAGGATAGCTCTACTAACAACTGACACACGGGTGTGATGAACTAAATGGCCTTTCCTATTATGTATCTCGCCACGATTCTAAATTTCAAAGAAGTTAGAAGTGTGAGGAAAACCCATACAGTGTTGAATATTATTATTGTTAGTGTCACTTTTCCATTTGATAGAAATCTGGAACATAAATTTTGCCCTTGCCTGTGTTTATGTGATTTGGAATTTTCAACATTGTTGATTGTAATAATTTTCAAAAATGTTCTGTTGAGGTCATGACTGAGACTTCTGTGTTGTGCGATTCACATTTTTGAGCGCACTCCTAAAATTAAATCTAGTATGAAAACTAAGGTATCACATTGAAAAATTACCCATTTTGCTGATTTAGTTTAAATATTTATGTGCGCTTCATTAACCTTGTCTGATTCCATTTATTCTTCTGAGATATCCCTGGATCGTTCACAACAGTCTTCTCCCATTTCAATTGCGCAGAATCTCCTGGATGCTAGGGTATGACATCACAATTGTAGCTTGCTAAACTAAAGCATGGAAGCTAAAGTTCTCATAAATTAACCCACATATATATTTTTAAAAGCTTTGACTGATGGAAATGGCTGGAGTGCACTAATCAGACCGTGAGGTCAGATGATAATAGAAATATTTCAGTATACTGCTACCTAGTTCTCTAGCAGCCAGGTATCCAGAATAACAGCAGCCATTTTAGCCAGACGGCATGCATGATCTTTCTCATTCCTGACAAACAGGAGGCTGGAAGAACACAGCAAGCCAGGGAGCATCTGGAGGATCCTTTCCTGCAGATCCTGCCTGGCTTGCTGTGTTCTTCCAGAGTCCTGTTTGTTTACCTGGGATTCCAGCATCGTCAGTTTTTTTTTGTCTTTCTCATTGCTGTCATGTTTAGGTCACAAAACAGCATCCGTGTTTTCCTCCCTTACCAAAACTTTTTATCTCAGATGGGCGACAGAGTTTAGTTTGCCTCAGTACAATTGTTAATTGTATGATTCTTTCACAAGGCTACAAGGAAATGACGTGAGGGAGCAATGTATGGCTGCATTCTTTAAATTGCAGAATATCATTGCTACTGTCATCTCACCAGCATTCCCATTTTATGTGTAATTAACCTGAGCTGACTATTGCAAGGCATGAGCATCAATATCTTAGCCTTAGGGAACATATTGGACTAGCATATGTAATGGAATCATTACTGTAATTGTCGCTGCACATGCATTGAATGAAGACAAGCAAGGCTAAATTAGGATTAGGACTTAGTTGGTCTCACTCGCTTGAATGTCCCACCAGAGCATGCAAAAGACAAGTTGGTAATCTGAGCTATGCTGTTCAGGAGGCAAGTGATCTTGACTAGCATTAATCCAAAGCAAAGAAGTTATAGAAGAAATAATGGATACTATCAGGAAGTAAACCATTTTTGATCATTGCAAAATTAAAAAGAAGCCTGCTTTCAGTTGAAGATGATTGCATTTGTCAAGTAGCTGAACTTGATTCATAGCCTAATGAAATTTGTTTTAAGCTTAGTAGCAACTACAGGAGAGTTGCAAAAGAGCTTATGCAAGTCCCCTGACGTTATAATTCCATCTGGAGGTTTGAAATTGGTGTGTATCCATAGACATTGATCTCCGCTATTTAACAGCCTTCCCCTTCCAATTGATTTGGAATGGTCTTATAATTGATAAGGTGCATGAATATGAATGGCAGAATCTATCTGAGCATGGCATTTTCAAAAAGTAACAAAAATGCCCTAAAAATTGTTTTACTAGCTACAAAACTGTCCCAAGTATGCACTGTAATTCATTGCAGCTTTAAGCATTTGTCCAGAAAATTCCTTAATGAACAAGTTTGAAATGCAAGTTACAGGTTTTCAAGTTTAATTTCTTCCAAAGGTGGTGAGGAATGTAGTATTAAATGAAAGGACAGGTTGTTTAAATCATTTCTTGATGTTTACATATAGCTCCATCGAAAGCTGGAGGAGCTCAGAGATCAGCTAGAAGGAAATGTGAAAGGAGGCTCTCTCAAAGTAAATATATAATTTTACCTGGTGATGTTTTTCTTCTGCTGGCCGATAACACCAGCTCAAATATTTTGCTATCATTCTTTTTCTCCTCCTCCCCTCCTCTTCCTTCTCCTCCACAACAGGGGTTTCATTAGGATTGAGGCTGGAGACTGAGGACGAGGTCTTACAATGAGTTATCAATTTGTGTTACCTATCTTGCAGAAATAAATGGTATCCATTTTGTTTGCTCTATAGTGGTAAGTTTGGAAATGTAACATCAAATCTACATTACAGAAGTCTTAAAATAAATGCAATTTCCATCAGACAATTATTTTATTCCACTTTTGCAACTTTAGTGATCAGTATTGAAGTATTTGAAGCATCAAGTCACTCTTTCAGGTTTGTAAAGAATACATAAGGTCTCTTCACAACAGAGTCAGGCAACTGTGATGCAGATTTGATTGTTGGTACTCCTGGCAGTATTGGGTTTCTCTTAGCCTTTGTTGAAAATAACCCCATTACAACACCTTCAACTAAGCAGTCAATAATTTTTTTTTATTTGATTGTTCAAGTCTTCTGAAGTAAGATCTTCATAAAATTTTATGAAAACTAATCTGAACCACAAATGGTGTGAAATTCCTGCAGGAGGGTTAGAAAGACTCTTTCTAGGATAAAGGTAACAAAAAGGATACAGCCTCTTCTATGTTGGCATCAGCTCATGTTATTTAAAACTCAGATCTCACATAATTTACCTTAGCCGCCACCTTCAAGAGAGTATATATTAATGAAACCCCTGCCTTCTGCCTCAGAACTGGAACCACCAATGCAGAGAACCTCTTCAGACCCTGACTCAGCACCCCTTCCTCATTAACGGTGTTTTCTTTTCCCTTGCTGCGCAACCAGGCTGAGCTCTCTTCATGCACACCTTCTTATTGTGCTACAGAGGTACACTGCACGTGTTCTTGCATCATAATGCACAACTGTGTTGCTTTGCGCCCTGCTCCTGTGAACACAGTATTTACAATTCTGCATGTTGCCTTTGATGATTTTTTTTTCTGATTTGGACTAAAATGTGCATAGTTGTAAGGGTGTAAGAATCGTGGGGAGGAAGAGAGTGGAGGGATTTTTTTTAACCTCCAAACATTTGCAATTCTTTGGCAGTCTTAAGTCAGTCGTAAAATGGCTGTATAAACCGTTAAAGGCTGTTAGGGAACAAATGGGAAAAAATGATGGTGCTACCTTTAAACACAAGTCTGGTAAGTACCCAAAATATAAGGCGTGGGGTTTATTTACTGCTGACGTTGTACTGACTTCATAAACTTGACTAACCTTTTCAGTGTTTTTTGTTTTGGGGGAAATGTAAGTGTAAAATCTCATTATCTTCTCTAGTCACGTCGAAAGAGCATGGGTAAAAGAGTTCCCTCTCACTTTCTTATGTGTATTTTATTTTTCAAAATTAACATCCTACTTCTGAAGGCACAAGACACAAAGAATGATGTGTTGTAATCAATTCAAAATTGTTCACTTTACTGAATTCTGTTTATAGGAACAGGGGAAAGATTTTGCCAGATTCATCATAAAAAGGTGTTTGCATCTCGCATTATGTCCTCCAGGATTATTTTCTGCACTGTTCTCATGGTTTTTGCTAATGTACTTTGGAAAAACCTGGAGAACTGAAGAGTTGAACACTTTTTTTTCTCCAAGTCTTTTACAATATAGTGCTAAAGGGCTGTCAGCAGCTTTTGTGAATGTAATTTGTTTCTGTTGCAAACTCAAGAAGCCTCTTTACCATAGCAAAATCTTTATCTGTGGTCACTGTAAATGCCTATCTCGTGGATGGATGGGTGGTGTTTTAAAGTATTCTGAGAATTCATTAAATGCCAAATCTTGTTCTGATTTAGATTAATATCATAGCCCTGAGTAAGTAACTGAGGAAATACTTGCTGGGCAGTGGACCTAGCAAGGTTTATATTTGAGGGTCAAGCTACATTCTTTATTTTTGATAACTTCACAGGACAGATAAAATTGGCTGTCACACCACCTTGATCAAATTCACAGAATGGGCAATAAGGGTAAAGAGACTTAGAGGTTGGCAGTGAGTGAGATCATTTTCTGCAAGTTCTTCACTTTACTTGAAACTGATTAAACAAATTATTAGGCTAGTTTGAAACCAATTAGCACCAAACTGTCCCATAGTGATTCTCTTCTCTTTGTTGGGCTTTACTTAAATTCAGACGGGAAGCAATTAAATCATGTATTGTTGCATTAAAAGTAACGTTAGCCAACTCTTCAAGTAACACTATAAGAATAACCGCATACATTTATATAATATAATATAATATAAGAAAGGTAACTATAAAAATATCAAACATTTTCAGAAAATTTAGGCTAGATTCCATTGATTTCCCAACTCAATGATCAACCATCTTCAATTCTCCATTTTGCATCCCACTGTTTATGCCAGTCATTTTGCGAAGGGCTACATTTTATGGTGCATTCTCTGCATCGTACCACATTGTTGTATTTCATGTGAAACTTATTTTATTAGCTTTGTGCAAGTTCCATTAATAGCTCACCATGTAGATGTGCCGCTTTTGACAAGAATGCTTAACCCAAAACCTCAACACTCGGGCGGAGAAAAACTTACCTCAGTGCCATTTGTAGTTCATTGGTAACCTCATGTTCTCGTCTATATTTCCATACCTCAAAGACATTCATGAGGACCTAACAGATTTGGTCTTTCTGTCATCTGGAGCCACCTAGTTTGCTATTATTGCTGGAATTGGAAATTGAACCTTGTCTCGCTGGTGGAAAGAAACTGCCTTCGGGTGTTGACCAGAAGTCTCAGCCTGCCTATTCTCTCCATGGATACTGATTTACCTTTATGTGTGTTTCAACGTTTTCTGGCTTCGTTCAGTTGCATTATTATCTGCTTTTATTTGACCTGTGGTGCTTGATTGTGGCAGACTGTAACAGACTAGACTGGTTATTGCTTGAATTTAGACACATCAACAGAAATGTTTAGTTTTCACAGAGGAAGGAAGAAAATAATTCTTCACACAGAACACTGTGTGCATTTTTCAATAACTTGTTGATTATGACAAATGAGTAGAAGGAAAATCTCTCCAAACCAGAATTTCCACAGCCTTATGGCTGAATCCTGAGCCAAACTGTTATTGTTACAAGGAGTAAGTATTCTGTTTTCAAGGTCAGAGAGCGTCAGGAAGGGAATTCCACTTAGGGCCTTTGCAGCCAATGATGGAACAATTACATTTAGGGATGCGCAGAATATCAGAATTGGAGGTGCACAGAGATCTCAGCAGGCTGTAATATTGGAGGAGGTTAGAGATGAGGAAAAGTGTGGTCATGAAATGATTCAAAAGCAGGGTTGAGAATTTTAAAATCTAAATGTCGCTTCAGGAGCAAGTGAGCATGGAAGTAATGGGTGAAAGGACTTGTTACAAGTTAGGTTATGGGCAACAGTTTTGGAGACAATCAAGTTTACAGAGGATGAAAGGTAAAATGCCAACCAGGAGAGCAATGTGATCGCCAAGTCAAGAGATAGACAAAGGCATGGACGATAATTTCAGCAATAGATAAGGTTGAGGTGTAGGTGGAGAGGGGCAGTGTTACATATTTGGAAGTGTGGTTATGGGATCGACTGGATAAGTGATCAGAAGCTGATCTAAGAGTCAAAAGGGGAATCAAAGGTGCAAATGGTCTGGTTTAGCCTTAAGCATTGAAATGAGAGAGGGTTAACTTTGGGGGCTGGGAATGGAGCTCATGGTGGGCACCAAAGACAATGGCTTCAGCCTTCTTTATATTTATAGAGGAAGTTTATGCTTACCATGACTGGATGTCAGGCAAGCAGCATAAAAAAATCGGAAGCAGTCAAATGTTGACAGAAGTGGTAGCAAAATAGAACTGTACCATCAACATAAACATGGAATCTGACATCTTTTCCACATGATGAGAAATAGGAGAGGCTAATGGTAGATCATTGAAGGATACCAACTGTAACAATGTGGGATTTTGAAAAGAAGCCATTAAAAATAAGATGCAACAATCTCAAGGTACAGACCCGCCAAGCTCAATGGCCCAAAGGAGAAATAATGGAAAAATATGATGTTGTCAGGTTGAGGAGGGTTAGCATAGCATGATCATAAGGGAGCATTGTAGCTTCAATATGGACCATTTTAGCACGGTGAAAGGGTCACAATCAAATTGGAGAGGATCAAGCATGGAGTTGTGGGAAGGATAATTATGCATTAGTGTGTTAATAACAAATTCAAAGACTTTAGAAAAATAAGGATGATTTGAGATTGGATGGTAGTTTCCAAAGGCAGAAAACTCTAGGATACATTTTTGAGGGTGATCAGAGTGGATTTATTAAGAAACCAGCTGAGGAGTTCTAGTGGTAATGTCATTGAGCTGGTAATCCAGAGACCAAGGCTAAAACTCTGTGGCACGTGGGTTCAATCCTGCTGTGGCAACTGATGGAATTTGAATACAGTTGTTTCAGTTTGAAATTGAAAAGCTCATCTTGTTGATATGGACCACACCAAAACTCAAACAAAATACATTACGAAGATAGCCTAGACTCCAACTTTTTTTTACTTTTAAAAGCAAGTGTAAGGCATTGTGTTCTGCAAGCAATTCGATTCATCAAACTACCAGGCTTGAAGCAAAACAGACTTTATTCTTACACTATAGTTAAAAAACAGACAAAATAAGAATAATAAAAAGCTGAACTGTAGCTCTATCAAAATACTTATCAAGACAATAGATATGTTAACTTCCAGTGATTAGGTGTTCCAAGCTAGTAACATCCCATAAACACACCTTTGGCAAAGACAAATTTAGTACCATAGGTTGTCTCACATGCAGTTCTCACACAGCGAGAACTCCAGCTTTTGGCTATAACAGAGAGAGGAGAAATATTTTCCACTCCAGCTTTAAGACCCCAATAACTACTGAAAGTTAAACTAAAATCCTGTTTCTGTGGGAGCTTGACCCCACCCCTT